CAACTGCAAACGCATCGCCCGGGCTCGTGTTTCATAACTGCAAATGCTGCATGCTGCAATAGTTTCAGCCACTGCAGTATGCCAGTGTGAGGCCCAGGGGAGGGATAATTAGTCTGACGGCACATTATTTATTAAATCATAAATTTTCTATGCTAGGCATCACGGAGGGATGAGTAAATCAATCAAGCACTTGGATTTTATCCCTTTCTTTAGCTGACACTTCCATCACCAATATTTCCAGGCTCACCAAAGACACCTCCACTGACACATTGAAAATGAGTTGGGAAAAAAAGCATCTTTTTTTAATATCTAGATATAAAACTGGAGCAACTATGCTGTGGCCTATAATATATTTATACTGCAGTGAAATTTAACCAGTAATCCAGTACAGCTGCATGGGTATCTGTTGCATGAATCTGAATATTTAATACACACACAAATATATATTTTCTTAGTAGGCTATACAGTATTCATGTTTATAGTGTTTATAGATTCTCCAGTGGCTCCGAGGAGATTCAGGGGAGGTAAAATCTCTGTGATCTTTAAAAACTGGATGGGGGAAGGCATGTGCTGACAGCAGTTTGGGAGAGAGCAAGGCAGAGATGAGTGGCTGAGCATCCAGAGAGAAGAGCCCACTACAGCAAGCGAGGGAAGGTGAGCTGAAAGTTAAGCACCTGCACCCATTATGGGGTGAGTAATTAGTCATTAATCTTGGTGTCCTGAGTAGAAAGCACAGCAGATCAGGGAGCACCCCAGGAGCAGGTGGAATAGCAGGTACTGGCTCTCCTGACTTGTTTGTTCAGCAGTTTCCCAGACAATTATTGTGTGTGTGTATATAGATATTTAGAGAGCGACTAGAGGGCCGAATTCTCAGCAAATATGAGGTGCTCTTGGGACATCAGGGGCTTCCTGGCTCAGGGGTGATGATGATGATGGAGGGGGCAGGAGGAACTGCCCTGCAGCACCCATGGGATCACCAGGGCAGGGTGTGTTTTGGGATGAAAAACTCCTTTTCAACCATGCAGAGCCTCAGAGCTGGTGGTTTATTCCTTCATGGTGGTGAGGGCATGTGCTGAGGGTGGGCTGGATCCGAGCTGGTGCCTCTGAGCCTTTGCTTTGCCTCCTTCCAGGGTTTTTAGGAGGGGTGAGTCAAGGTGCAGAGACCTTGAGGCTGTTTCTGCTTCTCCTTCATCCCTGGTGTTGTTTGGGTGTTGACCTGTTGGTTGAGGGGGTCCCATCTGCTTTTTCTCATCCATGGTTGATTCTCATCCTGTTCAGATTTCCTTGTATTTTCCCCCTGCTGCTGGCAATCCCCAGGTCAGGGGAGAGGGATGCAAACCTCTGCTGAGGTCGTGGTCCAGCAAAACCCTCCCTGGGATGCAGGATGGGCTTTAGCAGCCCGTTCAGCTGGGGTGAATCTGGGTGGAATTGGGGCATAGCTGGTGCTGTACCACCACGCTGAAGTGGGGGCACAAGGAGGGGGGACCCCACTGCAGAGCATGCGAGGGAGGTTGGTGAAACTCTTCCTGAGCTCAGAGGGGAGAACCACACCAATAACAATAAACCCACCGGTGCTAACACATTCTCCAGCAATGGTTCAAATGCTGCTCTGGGGCTGGGTCCATCCCTCGTGCTGAGGGGGCTCCAGGTGGAACCACTCCTCATTTTTTATTTGATTGATTCAGGTCTGAATTAGAATTAATCCCAAGTGTCCATGGTTGGTGCACGAGAGTCCTGGCTTCTGCTGGCTGCAGAGGACCAGCAGCATCAACGTGTTGGGTCTCCAAGGTGCCCAGCACCACGCAGCATGAGACCCCAACCTGTCTTGAATTACACCTCGTTATATTAGGAGCCTGCTCCTCTCTCTCTGCTGCTGCAGCTCTGCAATGGGAGCCCCTGAACATCTTAAACACAAAAAGAAGCAACGCAACCAAAAGCAATAAATCT